TGAACGGTGAGGGGCGGAGGGGGAGCGGGAGAAGCCCGGTCACTACCGAGCTCAAGGGAGAAGCCAGGCTGGAGACGGTGAGTGAGCTGCTGCACCAGCAGGCAGAGCTGTTCCCGTCATCCACGACCAGCGATTTTACGCGATGCGGTGCTCGGCTACATGCGTTGAGAGAGCACTGTTCAGTGCTCCGTAACACCGGCCGGTCTGGGCTGCACTGCGGGCAGTATGCCACCGGCAATCCTAACTACAAGGGAATCAGGAACAGATTTGTGGTGTAGGGGTGTTGTTTTGGGTTTGTTGTTTGGTTTTGTTTGGGGTTTTTTTTAACACCAACTCAAAAGGCCTCAAAGGATGAGAGGACATGGGCTTAAGCTGCGCCAGGGGAGGTTTAGATTGGAAATTAGGAAAAATTTCTTTACGGAAAGGGTGGTCAAGAATTGGAACAGGCTGCCCAGAGAGGTGGTGGAGTCACCATCCCTGGAAGTGTTCAAAAAACGGGTAGATGTGGCACTTTGGTTCAGTCTAGTCTACCCTTGATTGGCTTAGAGTAGACTTGGTAGTGTAGGTTAATGGTTGGACTGGATGATCTTAAAGGTCTTTTCCAACCTAAACGATTCTATGATTCTATGATTCTAAAGCACTTTGGTGAAATGAGGTAGCCGCAGCCCTTTGCCACTGGAAGTCTGTAGGTGAACCGCAGTGGGACCCTGGGGTCCCACTCCATGTCCTAGCCCGCTTCTGCTGGGTAAATACCATATCCTTACGTTAGGCAGAATGAAAACTTCATCTTTTACTAAATGTGAGCCAATGTTTATTGTAAAGAAGTAGGGTGCTCTAGTCACTTGGGCTTTGAAGAGTTCAGAGGAAGAAGTCATAGTTTAGCACTTGCATTTAAAAGCATGCTGTGTGTGCTGGCCATTTTCTCCTTTCATCAGGTGAAGTTACAAATTTGGAAAACGGATGTTTGCAGAAAAGACACTGAGATAGCAACATCAACAAATCCTTCATACTTGTTCTGAGAAATTAATTGTAGCCATCCTGTAATATTTAAATATTTCAAAGTTAAGATCTGTTACAAGAACCGGAGAACTCATTTATTTTAGTAACTGTCAAAGCAGGCTGGTTTGTCAAGTTGAGACCGTTCAACAATTTGGTTGCTAGGCTAGGAGAAAGGATGGATGGTCTTTGGAGGACAAGGTCTGTTTTGAAAATAATATGCAAATTTAAATTGAGGGATAGTTGCTGTGCAATCTTTTTAAACTGTACAGTTTTGTAAGAGTCAAACTTGTTTGTCCAAAGCAAGCAATATATTCTCAAATGTATTATGGAAGTATACATTAGACATTGCCCTCATCAGAAAGAATGTGCCATAAACTTATAAATAAACTAGTCAATTTGAGATAAAAAAGTTCCAGAGGTGAGAAGCTTATGGACAGCTAGCACACACACAGTTATCTAACCAAAAAGGTCCAACACACCAGAGAATGTGCCACATAGGAGATGTAGCCCCGTAAGAAATTCAGGCACATTTTGCAGTAGTAACATACTTTGCACTTCATTAGTTACTCACTCTGTATTGGGGTGGAGGGGGTGTCGAACCTCCCATTTCAGTTTCTCTTAATAAATCTTGTTTTTCATAAGAATATTTTAAGTTTTGCTTAGAGAATTCAGGTATAGGTTCACTACATAAAGTATACTTGTTTGACTTAAGAACGTCCAAGAAAAATGTGCCCAAGAAACACTTTGGGTCAAGCTTCAAGAATGTAAGACAGTATTTCTGTATTGTTTTCTGAGTTTTTTGAAACTTTATGCAAACATTAAATAAATCAAGCCTTTAAAACAATTCAGTAAGTTTTAACCTCATTTTATGAAGCAGCATCAAATGTGCAGTAAAAGGTCAAATGAAGAATCAGAAGCTGAGCATAACATCTTAATTGTCTTCTGAGCTCAATTCTTTAACCCAAACTTCGCATCTGATATGCTAATTTTTTTACTCTTGCTCAGAAGTACTCATATTCCAGGTATTTTCAGTATGGAATGAACTACATTCAATTTTCCTTCCAGTTAACTTGTTTCACATGATGGTACATACTTAAAATAGTATCTGTCTCCCATGTGTTAAATGACATGGCAAAAAGGGGAGAATAGGGTGCTGAAGCAACCAACGGAGAACAAACCAAGAGAGAACCAACAGTTTAGTGGTGGACTTGGTAGTGTTAGGTTAATGGTTGGACTGGATGATCTTAAAGGTCTTTCCCAACCTAAACGATTCTATGATTCTATGTATTTGCTCTACGACTTTCAGTTGTTTGACAGCTGCTTTTTGCCACATGTAGCACATCCAAAATTTCCCCTGTAGCCATTGTTACCAGTCTAAGATAGCCCACGTGCACTTCTGGTATGGACCTTGGCTATTTTACAGGACTCCAGAGCACTTTGCTCCCATCCACGAGCAGTAAATAATAATTAACAGTAGCAACTGTGCTTTTTGAATGTACTTACACAATCACTCTACTCTTCTAGCTTCAGAAATCTTCTGACTTTAGAGGTACCTGTACAGTGTTTCTAAAATGCTGAAGAAGTTCTTAAACTAGCTACATTTGGGATTTTGATACCTCTAACATAGCTGTTTGCCTTTGCTGTAAACAGACGTGAACTTCAGGTCACATCAATATCATCTACAGTAGCTAGCCTTATCACCTCATTATATAATACTTTACCGAGTAGATTTCTCAAATAAGAAAGGACAGGTACTGTATAACCACCTATTGCCACTTAAGCAATACTTGCTGCAATTGCTGCAAATATTGATTGTGAAGGAAGCCTAATATATCATCTTCTATGTGGTGATTAATGAGTTCCTCTGTTACTTTTTCCTAGCTGTGTGCTCTGGTGCTTACTTGGAAGTATATCATACATGTGAACCCAACCCAAATAACATGTAATCTACACAGAGAGAAAAAACTGACAGGAGAACATAAAAAGCAATTAGCAGTGCATTTTAAATAATACAGCACAGTTATCAATACTTCTTTTTCCCGAGGTAGAAAAAAGCTGGGAGGAATGATGATTCCTTTTGCAAAAGTGATGTTATTCTTCTATTTGGCAACTGAAGGCATAGTGAGCTCCGCTGATGTGTGCTGGGGAACAGACATGGAAGGCAGTACAATAGGAAGAATGACAATGTTGAGGGGAGGAAGGAAGATGTAATGGATTTCCTTAAAGCAATCAAGAGAAGTTAAAGAAATACAGAAAGGATGGTAAAATTTAGATTAACAGACTTTCGCATACAAGTGCAGTGTTTGCAGTATCTGCATATCATTAGCCTATTTTGTGTCCACAATTAGGCCATATACGAAAGCCTATTTTAGATTTAAACAAATAAAAATAGTAAGTAAAGTTGCTCTTGTCATCCTGTCTGGTAGCCTTGTACTTGGGTCTGGGCACAAACTAACTTTGTAGGTTCAGTTCTGAAAAAATGAACTTACGTTCAAAATGTACAGAAATTGAGCACTTTGTGTAGACTACACTTTTTCTTAACATTTATGATAAGAGTTTCTGCTGCTGCTGTTGTTGTTCTTGTTTAATGCCAGATTTTATTTTAGTGAGGAAAACTAGGTTCACTGTCAAGACAGAGCATGGATATTTGAAAAATCTTGTCTAATAGCTTTATATCCCTGTGTTTGTTAACTGTATTTTTAAAAAGTCAAAGCTAACTTCATTACTATTCACTGGCAGTAACCCACTTTCCCCTTCCTAATCAGTTTAAACTGTCGATTTGGAATGTTATGTAAATTATTTTCCTTCTTATATTCTCTTGAAGAGAGAAACATACAAGTTTGCTTTTTGTTTCTTTTCAGCATTCAGTATGGCTCCTCCAGCTCTACTCATGCGTGTGGTCGCCTCTGCATATTCTGTTGCAGAGAAAGCTGCAACAATTGTTAGAAATGTAATGGCTGCAGGAGATCTGGGGATAGTGGAGAAGGTATTACTTTTACTTTGTTCCAGTATAATTTCTCTTGTTAATGCTGAGTTAGATACAGGTCAAAGTGGTATTTTTGAAGATCAGCAACTGGGGAAGAAAATACAGTCTTCACCTCTCTGATGAAATATTCCTTATTAAAGGATTAAAAGAGCACTGGAGAAGTGCTTTTTGACGAGTATTTCTAAAGAATGTTCAGACACTTAAAAAAAACCACACCATAATTTTGTCCTGATTCCCCCTCACAAAACACAAGCTTTGGATAGCTTGTCAGAATTCATAATAATGTATTTTTCCCATTAATTTCCATACCTATGTTCTAAAATCTATAGTGCAGCTTAAAGTACTGTGCCCTTGATGAATTTTGGGCTAGGATAAATCAGTGTTTAAGTTTCTTAAAACAAAAAAGAGCCTTAGATTTTGCTGTAAATCACAGTTTTCAAAATCAATTCGGAGCTTCAAATTTAATTCTAAATAGAAAACAGAAATGAAATTACAATCATCTGTATGAAGTTCTTAATTTGCTGTGAGTTAGCAAGCTGCGCTGATGAGCCAGGATCTTTGTTTTGACTACAGTACTAGAATAGGTGGAATTAACTTTTGAAGTTAATTCTAGCTTTACAGGTAGGTCACAATATTATGGTCTGCATTAAGTATCTATATTATTTTTGGTCTTTACATTGAAGTAATTGCTGGTATTTACATTTTTCTGATAGTAAGCACTTTTCAGCCAGTTGTGAAGAAAAGCCTGATCCTTTATGACTTTTATTGTCAGTTGAGACAGTAGATGCAAAGATTTTTTTCCCCCATTTGGTCAGTTTTATTCACCACTATGAAAACATTTGCAAGTTTTTCTTATTCCCTTTTTTTCTAAGCAATTAAAATCAGGTGTACGGGAGAAAGAATTAAAAAAAAAAAAACAACTGGCAAGTAATGATCTTTGTTTTCAGAAGTACTTAGATGCATAGCAGGATTCTCAGACACGTGTAAGTAGAATATACTCTCCCACATAACCTGCTTTTAGGTTCTTGGAAAAACTAGTGCAGCTTCACTACAAGAAAGCCTTAAAATACTTGCATCCAGAGGTACAAAGGAAGCACTGTCTGTACTTTGTTTGATTAACCAGCTAATTCTAAATGCATAAACAAGTTTCATGAAGCTTATTTTTTAAGAGTCCAGCAAAGTTAAGGTAATTTTAACTAAAACTAAATGCTGGCTTTTATCTGTTTAATTCAGTTTCACTTTAAAAAAAATGCACGTGTGTTAATATTGTTTCCCAGCAAATCAGAAATGCATTGCTCAACTATTTTCTAATATAATAAAACCAGAAAATGAACACATTTTAAGCTCTGTAAACAATTAAGTAAATAATTGTAAATACAGTATAACAAAAATGATCAAGAGTAACAGGTGATACATTCTAAGTAAGACTGGTTATACATACTTTTTTTTTTTTTAAATGAATACTACAAACACAAAAAATTAGATTGAAAGCAATGACCAAAAGAAGAAGTTTCTGTTGGAGGGACTAGCAATCTCAGAATTTCTGCAAGCTTCTTGTCAAAGGTGGCTGGTGAAGAAAGAGCAAGAATGTGAGAGAGAGAACCAGTATGTGCCTCTGCTTTACGGTCTGGAGGAAAGAGATGCACAAAACCAGAAAGTGCTGCTTCTCATCATTCATCCTCTTTCTGCAGTCAGCAAACATCAAGACCAATTCCAACTGGCCTTATTGAAAGCTTTAGAAAAGCTAGGAAGACAATGTTCCACTTTTTCCCCCAACACACTGACCTCCCATCCATTTATCTAGATGAGGAAAAATAGTTCAAGGACAGTTGAATTTAGCTAGCTCCTCTCCTGATGTCCAGAGTTTTCTTTCCCTCAGTCAACTGTAAGCTCTCCATTTATATTGCTTCTCCTTGTAGTATTTTTACTTTTTTTTTCCCCCCCCCCTCCAACTGGTAGGTAGAAATTTTGTGCAGCCATTCTTAGATTATTGATGACTGTTTTGAAGAACTACTTTATACTATTTTATTAGGTTGGTGTCCTGGAACAAAGGACATTCTCTGCAATGACTTAATCTTTCCAAATCTAAACACAGTGCCAGATTCAACCAAATTTATTACGGGATGAGAGGGAAATTTCAAAGCAAAATATCGAGTTTCATAAAAGTAGGCAATCGGATAAGGGACAGACTAGGTTTTGAGCATGCAAAAATTAACCCATAACATGATTCTAAATGGAATATTCCATTCCTATGGCTAATTTCTGTAGCTGGATAAAAACAATCTTTATGTTATCACCAAATAAGATACAAGCAGGTAAAATTAATTTTTTGTTTGAGTCAACTAAGATGCAAATCCTTGGATGAACTGGCTTTTTAAATTTCTGGGCTAACAGAAGTATTTCTTACTGGAATTCTGTCTCCAGACCTAAATGGTTCCTCCATTCATAGATACATGAAGATTAAGGCAAGAAAGTATGAATGAATTTTTGCTTTTCCCTCTTCTTATATTATATCTGGGTTCATACTTGTATTAATGTTCATACTTGTATTCTGTACATAGTATAGTATTTGCACAAATACATATTCAGTACCATTGCACCAGTGCATGAGAAGAACACAGCACGTAAATATTGTTCTAATATCATACCAGTCTATCTTAGCTCTGGGGTTCAGTTTTTAGCCTGCCTCTCTCAAGATCACTTACTAGGTTGATGATTTATCAAATTAGATTTCTTTTTCATTACAAGGTAGATATTCAGAGTGACATATGGGCCACTGTACTGGGTTTTTCTGTTGTTGTTTTGAAATACACAAATTCCTTTCCATCCTTTGACAGACTGGAGCCAATGATTTGCAGACCAAAGCTGACCGACTGGTACAAATGAGCATTTGTGCTTCCCTGGCACGGAAGTTTCCGAAGGTGACAATCATAGGAGAAGAAGTAAGTACCAAATTTATTTCATACTAACAATTTAGCTTGCTATAACTTGCAGTGGAGTTTGCTTTGGCAGGTTTTAGGAAATCATCTGGTTTTTTGAAAAAAAAAAAAAATTATTTCCATCCCATTTCATCTTTCCATTGCATTAGCTTTGTAAAGAAAGCTGCAAGCAAATCCACAGTTCTAAGGCAAATCAAGATGAGTCTAAGACCTTTTCCTAATAATTTTGAGAATCCTTTTGTTAGGAACTGCCCACTGATGAGGTGACTGAGGACTTAATTGAAGATGGTCACTGTGAAGAAATACTGAAGAAAACTTGTCCTGCTCAGTACACAGGAATTAAAGAGGAAGAGGTAATGTGGTAATGCTATACATGTGTCTTCATATTTTACACTCTATCTATATTACTTATCAATTTTAGCTGAGAATGTATTAAGAAAAAAGGTTATTTAAGTGTTGCCAGTTTTTCTTTTTGGTTTGAAAACTGAAATATAGTCATGAGAATCACACCTCCAGAGCTGGAAATGCTGTGTGAAATAATGGGAAATGGAAATTTGCTTCTTACAACAACTTGTGATTCAAATTTATTTGGAAGGAATCTACTTTGGACATAAGTAAGTAGTATCACTTCCATGTTCAGTTTAAGCCATCATACCTCTATTAAGATATTTGCTGAGGAGTTCCAGTCATTTTTTAAGCTTTTTTTGTGTAAAATACTATTGTAGGCTTCAGTCATATCATAATGCTAAAAATTTGAATCTCTTTATTTCCTTACTGCCGTAAGGAAATAAAAGCTCTAAACTAAAATACATACTTCGCGTGGTAATTTACATGATTTATATTTGTTAATTTTCCTTATTTCTTATTTTTAAAGCTTGTAATATGGGTTGATCCCTTGGATGGAACCAAGGAGTACACTGAAGGTTGGCTTCTCCTTTAATTCTGCTGATTCAAACAAATATTATAACAATGTAATAAAGTAGCATGTACATGTACATAGTTTTATGATAGAAGTTACATACAATATTGTTTCATAAGGCTGATGTTTCTGTACTTTTTTAGTTCTATGCAATTTTTTATTCATTCCATTCATTTCTAACCAGTATTGAATATTCCTGATGGGCTACTGAGTTCCCACCATTTTTTACCATTTCAGGGAGCAAAGGGCTGCCTTTGATTGCTGGCAGGTTGTCTTAAGTTCTTAGTCAAACTTACAGTTTTGCATATACTTTAAATTGAGGGACTACATCTCCCATTCGCACAGGAATATGCTCAATTTACATCCTCCTCTTCAAACAACCCAAATACCACAGCTTTATTTGTAGCCCTTTCAAAATAAAACATTTTCCCCTAAATCATAATTCTTCAGTTATGGGCAGAAACTGTTTTCAGCAAAGCCTAATTTGTGTCCATAGAAATAGACCCTAAAATGAAGGGGGGGAAAAAAAAAGAAAAACCTCCAAAAACAATATGGCAAAACCTCACTTTAGCCTCCTGCTCCATCTGTTAGTTGATTAATGTAAATTGATTAATGTAAAATCTCTTAGGCAGGTTTTTTTTCCTTTTTTAAAGAGATGTACAACTGTCAACAAATTGCTAGTTTTTAACACCGTTAAAGAATTCACACCACAATTATAGAAGAATGTCATCATATACTGCTATTTAGTTGTATCTTTAAACTTCTTTCTCATTATGTGTTAATTATAACATAGTTCTATTAAGAAAATTCTATCTGGGGCATTTTTTTTGCAGACCTCAAGTCTAAATGACTAAAAAATTATATCAACCAAACTATTATACTTGAAAATCCTGATTAGTATTTGCATTTTTAAGATACCACCCTGTATATCAATTTGTGGACTTTTATCGAAGGTTAATTTTTTTATATATATACTTTCTCTTTTTCAAGCATAACTACATTCATATTATTTCTGTACAGGTCTCCTTGACCACGTAACAGTTCTCATTGGAATTGCTTATGGAGGCAAAGCAATAGCAGGAGTTATTAACCAGCCATATTACAACTATGAGGTATTAAATGCATTGATTTGTTTAAAAGCATTAGGTGATTTCTAACTGTCACTTCTAAGGCATTTCTAGTTAGCACACTTTCAACTGAAAAGCAGTGTGTAGTGGAGTTAATGTTGTAATATAAGATGGTGGTGTTTTTACTATATACAATTTTGAATGTTGGTTTCCAGGAACTGAATCTCACGGACCTACTAACAGCCATACTGAACCCTGAGGCTCATACAATACACTAATACAGTGTATATTACATAGGTACTGTACTTACTGCTACAATACATATAAAGTACATGTTGTAAAACAAGTACAGATTGGTATTTTTGCTAGACATTCTGTAGTAAGTCCATGCATTAGGTGCATTTGTGATGTGTGGTAACAGCCATAAATCTGCAGCCCTAAATAAACCAAGCATACCTGTCACTGACAGCTGGGTTAGAGTGTATCAGGCCAGGTTTCAGGTGTAAGTCCAGGATGGCCAACCTACAGGCATTTACACATGTTTGGAGATTATTTCAGTATTATCTTTGAGGGGGGAAAAAGGCTCATGATGCAGCCTGATTAAACTTACTAGAATTTAAAGAAAAAGCTCTTGAGCTGAGGTAATGCATATCATCAGCTGATTCTGTATGTTCTATGTGATACATATGATGAAACATTTAAAATGACAAAATATTTTCAGTTACAGATTGTGCCTGAAGTACAGAAATATACAAATATTAATTTGTCAGTCATTGGAGGCAGGATGTAATGCACCACCACAAAGTCACAGATAAGAAAAGGGTAAATGATGTCATTGCCTTAGAGGGAGAGAGACCCAATTTCTCGCTCTGGGCTCTGGAGTAGTTCTTTTTAAGTGCCATTATTTAAATGTATAACCCAGTATTAATATTATACTCCCTGATACGCAAAGATGTCTCTAGGTACTCCTTTCCATTTGTGTTTTAAATGCTGATCACTATGATTAACCATCACCTGGACCTGTGTACCTTTTTTGTAGGCAGGAGCTGATGCTGTGTTGGGCAGGACAATCTGGGGAGTCCTGGGCATAGGTGCCTTTGGATTTCAGCTCACAGAAGCACCTGCTGGGAAACACATCATCGTTACCACCCGTTCTCACAGCAGTACCCTGGTGAATGACTGCATCAGTGCCTTGAACCCAGACAGCGTCATCAGAGTCGGAGGAGCAGGAAACAAGGTATGAAAACTCCTAATCTTTTGTTTTTACTGGGAGGTGGTACCTCTGGGAAAAGAAAAAGAATTTTTAAAGAAATCATTTGCTTACTTGCATGAGTGTACAGGAGACTTCCTCCTCCTTCCCCAGCACAACTTCTCAGTCTGCTGTGAGGTAGAGAGAATTTGGTACAGGTATATTTGTAACAGTGGCTATGCTGGTCATGGCTGAGGCCCATCTTCCCCAGTATTCTGTTTCTATGGGAGGAAAATAAAAAGTTGTAAGGCCAGAATGACTAAATGGGAATTCGATTTAATTACAGTTATTAGACATTTCCTCCTGTTCCTGTTCATACAGTTTTTGTTCCAACTATCTAGCAGCACATACGAAAGGATAAAAATAGAAACACACAGTGATATTTCCTTTGCAAAACTTCTCTGCATACAGGGAATTCTTATTTGCTACAGTTTTTAAAGCTTAGTTTTTTCATGGCTGTCAAAAACAGACCCTCCAATCTCTTTTCTCCAACATGTGCAAGGCCCAAAACAGCACCAAGACAACACGGAGATAGTTTCCACTTTATTTTTTTAGTACTTGCACAAGATGGGAATTCTTGTTTCTGAAACTAAAAGCAGATTTTCATCCTATAGACTGTATTTATAACAATCAAAAATAGATCATTCAGAATGTTAATACAGTATAGCTTTCTAAATCTTAATATAATTTCTTGTAGTATCAGAAAGGAAATGGCTGGTGTTCCTTTTCTGACATAGAATACATAGAATAAACTGATCTAATTCCTGTTTCCTGGTGTTATTTTTACCCATTTCTAAATGCCTAGATCCTTTGCAATGATTGCCACTCTCTATTCATAACAGATCATTCAACTTATAGAAGGCAAGGCATCTGCTTATGTATTTGCCAGTGCTGGGTGCAAGAAATGGGATACATGTGCACCTGAAGCTATTCTACATGCTGTGGGAGGTAAGTCAATAGCATTCAGAATTCCAAGATAAGAACTGCATCAATTTAAAGTTATTTATACTTTTCATAGGAAAAAAGGATTTCCAAACATGTCTTTGGAAAGAAAAGTGACAGTACATACTTATTTTTAAATAGTCACAATTCACTAGGAGCTTTGAGCCCTTTGAAGTCAACAATAACCCCAAAGGGACAGCAAATTATGCTCTGGAAAGCATGATATCATCTATTTTACCCTGGACTAATATAGTCAATAACTGTCAAATAATGAAAAAAAAAAACAAATTCCAAAGTTTGGGGTATATTAATTTTAATATTTTCAAAACAAATGGCTTTTTTTCCTGTTGGTTACTATTTCACAGTAAAATCATGCTGTCCTACTAACTAGATACAGTAGTTAGTAGAAACATTATGTAATATGTGGACATTTAGTTCTTTAAAACAACAACAAATAGGCCAGACCATGCAGTTGTTGCTTGGATGTACAAATTCCAAAACTGAGTCATTCATGGAATTCAGTAAAATCAGTGGTCTCCAGCCAGCATAAGCCACTTCACCTTTCTAGGGGGTCAGGGGTTAGAGAACTTATGAAAAGTCTCACTGACCAGAATTTGAAGTATTATTATTATACTTTCTTTGCTGTTCATGTTGATACACCTTTTACTGCCATGTGCTAAAATTGTGGGTTTTGATCTCCTAAATTCTGTCAAGCAGGGATAACAGGCTTCACAATGACATTATTTAATTCCTCTGCAGTCTCTAGTGTTGATAACTGGGATAGCTTTAAACAGGTTAGCTCAGGCACAAAAAAGTAACCAATCTGGGACAGCATAGTGCTGTATTTAGCCTCCTTGTGATGTAGGTATCCTGTGGTTAAATTAGCTTGCATAAAGATCTGTGTTGCTCTTGCTAAGTGATTTCTAGAAACTCACTTAAAACCAGCTGGGGTATTTCTATATTATGTTAGAGTTTGTTGTATAGACTTACCCTGGCTTTTATTTGAACTGAGGATTTTTCTTTTCTTCTTGTCAATGGCCAATGTGTAAACTACTCGGGAATCATTTTAATTAATCCACAAGAGAGAGATGTTGTTTTCCTTTTCCTGACATACAAGGAATTTTAAGTATTGCTGAAAGAAAAGAAAACCATTAGTTATTTCATTTCAGTCAATAAAAAACTGTTGCACTTAAAACTGGGAGCAAAGATATTTCATATCTGAAGACAGGCATGTGTACCCTAAAGACTGTCTGGTTTTTTTAGTTATATCACTTGTAGTAATAAAATAGATTACCACTCTCCAACTCCTGTTTGCTGGAATGATTTTTTTTCTTTTTTTTTGCAGGCAAGATAACTGATATCCATGGAAATTCATTTCAGTATAACAAGGAAGTGAAACACATGAATTCAGCTGGGGTCCTTGCCACTTTGAGAAATTACGACTATTATGCCAGTCGTATTCCTAACACCGTTAAACAATCTCTTGTGCCTTAAAGCAGTAAAGCATCTTCACTTGGCCTGGAAGGCTGAGAAAGTGAGCTTGGAGAATAAGAAAGAAGATAACTGAGCTTGAAAATTTGTTTTATAGAATCTGAACCAATTCTTCCATTAAGGTGTTCAATAATTTCAAAATTACATACAGAATCTCCAGTTATATGTTGGATCAGATTGTTTTGCTGTGTTTAGGAGACATCATCAAAAAAGTAACATTTCTTCAATAGTAGTTTTCCATATTCTTTGGGAGTATTCATTCTTCACATGGTATGAATGTGCTTAATGTACGGCTAATCATAACATTACAGTCCAAAAATCATCTTAATATTCAGGGCACAAAAACATGTTAAGTCATTTACCTGATCTTGCTCAATGTTTTTTGTTGTATGTAGTCAACAACAGTTTATTGTGTTAAATACAAATCGACTAAGAATTTGCCTGGATGGATTAGTCCATTTATTATAAAGTCGACAGTTTTGATTCTTAGAAGTGAATCTTTGAATTTGTTGGTCTGCACTCAGTTTTGGGATGGCTGAGATTGCTGTTTGTGGTGAGTTGGGTTGTCTGGGTTTTGCAGGAGCAAGGACACAGTCCAGCTGGGCCTCTGACGTCTTAAATAGGGGTTCCTGGATCATTGGATCCATTGAGGATCAGTGAAGTGTTAGTACAGCAGGGCTCAGGACACCTCAGTCGAGGAGAACTCAAGGAAACTGCAACTGGGGGAGATGTTCCCAGCACCTCTCTGATGATTTGAGATGCCTCTGTCAGGGTCTATGCCACCTCAGTCTTGGAGAGCTTTAGGCATCCTAGGTCACTTTGTCACATATGGGAACAACAGAAATGCTGGAACTTGACATTTTTCATGTCCAAATTTTGAAAGAAGCAAAGTGCAGGTGCCTTTCCAACAGCCCCAAGAGTTGAAGAACCTGACACTACCAGTTCCCCCTCCTGTGGAACACAGGCATGTTGGGAGAGAGCAGGGGACAAGATCACCTAAAATTAACTTAAAAATTGGAGAGCCTGTTTCAGTCAGCTTTCCCATAGGTGTGGGGGTTAGGAAAGCAGGATTCAACTGTTCAGTCCACTCTAATACAAAAGAGAACAAGAAGTAAATTACATATGACTAGCTAAAATTGGCAACCTTAGCCAAAACAGATGAAGTCTCTTCAAGCTGAATTTAGGATTCTGGAGTGTCTTGAACCAGTGGGGCCCCTACATACTTTGTTTTTTCCAGATTTTGTGACCCAAGTCCCTCACCCTCAAATGAAGGAGTCTTAGGGACTCCCTTTCCGTAACAATGTGACACATAATGAGGCATGCCACGAAGAGATGCCGGTTTCAATGGACAACACATAGTTGTGCTTTTCTTCCTGTTCTCTGTATGGTTAGAAGAGTGGCATTATGTTGGGTTCTCAGACTTGTGGTGTCAGGGAGGGTGCCTGAACTTGGCTGCTTGCTTAAAGACTGAATGCCTAAGCTCTCCCAGCATGATCTTTTTTTCCTTAACCTCTGCTGACACTGAATGGCAAAGTAGCCTACGAGTTGCACTGCACCCATTCTCACTTCCTCCCTACCCACAGGATTAAGTCCTCCAAATGACTATGCTCTTGGTCCGCTCAAACCATCTTTAAGCTAGCACCAAACTTCAAGATACAAAAAGATAGGTTTTCCGTAGAGAAGAAAATTTCAAAATTCAGTTTTCAATAGTGTGTTCAAGTTATTTCTTTCTCCTTTCATCACACAAGCTATTTAACATCTCTGATTTACTTAGAATCCTTAGATTAGATCCTCTCCTCACCATAGGGTAACACCAATATGACTTCATTGGCTTAAAGCTGGCTCTATTTCCAGCAAGCAGGAACATCTTGACACCAAAAGATATGAACAAAGCAACTCTTAGAATCATAGAATCATTTAGGTTGGAAAAGACCTTTAAGATCATCAAGTCCAACCATTTGCTAAAGTGTTCCCAGTCTCTCCATGTGCACACATGGAAAAGAATCTAAGGAAGCTCCTTCCTTAGTGAGGTCATCATAACATTTACAGATAAATTAGCAAGATTATCACTTACCTCATTCTATCATCAGCCAGTCTGTAATGCTATCATGACACTGGATTAAAGCTGCATATATAGAAACAACGCATGCTTCTAATCCTTTCATCTATAGCCTACCTTTCTTCTTCCTCAAGCGCGTGACTAGTAAGAGCACACAAGACAGATTCAGCCTGCTTTAATTAGAGCCTTCATATTTTGACCCATTACCTACCTTTCTTCTTCCTCAAGCGCGTGACTAGTAAGAGCATGCAAGACAGATTCAGCCTGCTTTAATTAGAGCCTTCTTCATATTTTGACCCATTGTAAGTTTAACCATTCTACATATTGTGACTGAAGTTTGAACCACTTAGCAAGTACAAGATTAATCTAATTTCACTGCCTCAATTATACATAATCCTCACTTCCATCTTCTGTAGAATTCTTGGGTATGCATGCTTTAGTATTCACGTCAAAATCTGCATGCGAATTTGCAAAACACATTAAAATAAAATGTAGAAAGGCAACACAAAGCCTGCCTTAATAAGTCTTTCCATGTAATCATTAAAATACAAAGTCAAGTACAGAACCCAGGTAGTAATCTTCATCTATGTCTCCATATCCTTATTTTCATCTGAAACTTGCTATATGTTTGCAAATTTCCTCACCCCTTTCTAATTCTGCTGTAATTTCTCTCTCTGCTCATTTACAGTTACCTCAACGGGAGTAGAAGACACATGGCATACACCAGCTTCTGGACATGTAAAGACACTTATGTATGGAACCACTTTCATTGCGTACAGAAACTGTATAAACTGCTAACACAGGAAAATATTACGGGAAGTT